TACTGGGAAGGCTGAGGCGGCAGGATCGCCGGAGCCCAGCGGGTCGAGGCTGCGGTGGCCGGGAGCGGCCACTGCACTCCAGTCTGGGCGACAGAGTGAGACTCCAACTCAAAAAAAGAAAGGAAGGAAGGAAGGAAGGAAGGAAGGAAGGAAGGAAGGAAGGAAGGAAGGAAGGAAGGAAGGAAGAGTGACAGGATTGATGCGGTATGAACACTGGTTTTGTCAGCGACTGTCTAAGGTCTAAACTCAGATTAGAAGAGGTATTAATAGAGGTCACAAATCACGTCATTGCTAGTAATCAATAGTTAAGATAGATAAGACAATGCCTGTTTTCCTATAAACACGGGGGTGAGTTTGTGTTGCTTTGAGCGGGTTGTGGTGCAAGTACCAAGTCGGTCTCCCTGAATTGTGAATGCAGGTTAAACTTCTTTCCTCCCAGTTTCCTGCCTGTCGTGGTTCATTGGCGAAGGAGGGAAAGCAGCCGAGGGTTGACCCGGCTGCCTCACTAGCCCACCCCTTCGCTGTGTGGCAAAGCCAAATCCTCAGGGCACCGCCTCCCTGTTAGGCTCCTCCCGTGACGGGCCCCGCCCTCGTCACTAGACCTCGACCCCTTCCAGTCCTGCTGCCCACTGTCGCAGACCTGGCCCCGTCCCTATCGGACGCCGGTCTCCTCCGGGAAGCCTTCCTCCTCACAGACAGGCCGACTCCTCTTCCTAGGGCCCTCGCCCCCTGGTCCGCCAGGCCCCGCCTTTTTTGCGGCTCCCATTGTGCCCCCGGCGAGCAGGGTTCACCGTGAACCCCACGTAGGCCGAAGAAGCGCCCGGCTTCTCGGGGCCCCCCATCCGCAACTGGGTTGATTGATGTGACCTAGCCCCGAGGAGGGCTGGATCGCCAAGGCTGCAAGATGCTTGCCTCGGAAAAAGCGCTCGTGCACGGTCCCGAAGCACCTCGGAGGCCACGGCAATGCGGTCTCGTGCACCCTCTCCTGGCTGGAGGTCGGTATTACAACCTCTCGACGGCACACAGGGCGCGGTGCAGGCGGCGGGCGCTAGCCAGTTAGCAGCAGCTCCGGCGAGTCCGGAGCTTACGCACACGCTGATTGGCTGACTGATGGCTAGCGCGGAAAGCCTCGACGGTTGGAAGGCCCGGCCTACTGGAGGGCCGAAGTACCGCGTGACGTACGCCCATTAAGGGCGGAAGTGGGTAGCCCAGCGGAAGTGGCTCCTGTAAGGGCGGCGGGTGGTGTGCCGGGTTCGCGGTTGCCGTTCCGTCCCCTCTGGGCTGTGGTCCCAGTCGGACTGAGGCTATGCAACTCCGCGCCGAATACGTGCGAGAGGAGCTGCAGCGGGACCTGGAAGCGGAGCACGTGAGGGACACGACGAGGGACAAAGGGCTTCTGTGTGGGCGGGTTCGACTCCATTCATATTTTTCCGTGCGGTAGGAGGGGGAGGATACGACCCTCAATCGCTGCGCGTCCAGCTTCCGTGTCCTAGTGGTGTCGGCCAAGTTCGAGGGGAAGCCACTACTTCACAGATAGCGGTGAGGCCCCGGGAACACCTTACGCAGCTCCAGGACCACGGCCACTCCCCCTTACCTTACAACCTAGCTCCCTCACCCCCTCCAACGTGACCCTGACCTTGAGGATTCCGCCCCTGTGGCTCAGGTTGCAATATTTCAAGTTTAGCCATTTCCCCCACGTGTCCCGACGTCCTGGAGACTGCAACCACGGGAACAGTATAGTCTCCCTAGTCACCCTAGCTTGGGGCACTGCGACCTAAGCCCTGGTCTGACGCTTCCTAAACCCATCTCTGGCCCCAGGCTGGTGAACGCATTCCAAGCCCAAGAGGTCCCGCGTATCCATGCCTTTGAACTGGAAACCCTGACTTCAGGGCAGGAAGCACGTGGGCAGCAGAAATGAGGGACTGGGACCGCACAGCCGTTAAATTGTAAGTCATGACCAGCTTCTGTGTCGGTGTGTTGTGTATGAGAGGGTGAGGGGGGCACTAGGGTTGAGTCCAGGACTTGTCTCGCCCTGCCCTGCCACTGTCTATTGTTTTATCTTGGATAAGTCCCTCTCCCTCCCCATCTAGGACTCTGTGTCCCCCACTTGTAAAATTACAATTTTATCATTAAAGCCACTACCTCGAGGTGAGAGGATTGCCTGAGCCCATAGGTTCGAGAACAGCCTGGGTAACTCATCTCTACAATAAATCTTAAAAATAACCGGCAGTGGTAGCATGCACCTGTAGTTCCGGCTACTTGGAAGGCTGAGGCAGAGGGATCACCAGAGCCCAGAGGTCAACGCTCAGGTGGCCATGAGCGTACTACTGCGCTCCATCCTGGGAGACAGAGTTAGACTCCAACTCAAAAATAGGTAAATAAAAGCCACTGCCAGCCGGACTCGGTGGCTCAGCCTGTAATCCCGTGCCTTGGGAGGCTGAGGTGAGTGGATTGCCTGAGCCTGTGGGTTCAAGACCCGCCTGGGCAAATTGGTGAGACCTCGTCTCTGCAATAAATCAAAAAATCAGCCGGGCGTGGTAGCGCATACCTGTAATTCCGGCTACTTGGAAGGCTGAGGTGGAAGGATCACTGCAGCCCAGCAGGTCGAGGCTGCGGTGGCCAGGAGCGGCCACTGCACTCCAGTCTGGGCAACAGAGTGAGACTCCAACTCAAAATAAAAATAAAATAAAAGCCACTGCCTCAGAAACTTGCTTTCTGTAATTCTCTGTAGAAGAATTACAAAGGAGTTTGTACTTTATTCACCCTCCCAACCTCAGAGACCTGAGTTTTCCTGCTCTCTGCCAACCCTCAAGATGCAGAAATGAGAGGTGCTTGTGGTTTCAGGCACCTGACTAGTTGAACACTCCTCTCCCTCTCCTGGACATCAACCCAGTGTGAACATCAGTCCGGTGCGGAGGCCTGATAGAGAATTTCACACATTCCTGCAGGAGGCCTCATGGGTAGTGATGCCCAAGCAGGTCCTCTTCAACACCTGGATTGCTGATGTTTCCTTGCCCACTGGAGAAGGTCAGGTGGCCCTGTAACCTGGACTTGATGTGACTACAGCTCCCTAGGGAAAAACCATGGGGGTTTCAGTAATGAGGGATAAGTATGGGATTAGAGGAGAAAAGCAGGCTGACCTGGGTTGCAAAATTGGGGGTGATACCCCTATATATGTCTTAACCACAGGTTGTTAGGGTTGATAGGACCTTGCACAGAGGTCCCTAGGAACTAGGAAGGACACCAAGTGACCCGGTTGAGGCCAGGGCTCTTTGAGAGTGAGAAATCACAAGTTTCAGCTGACGCCCACTTTGTTCCCCTGTGTTTTCAAGGTCAGTTTCTCAGCTTGTAAATTATATTGTCACCCCACTTCCATCTCTGCTTCCCATTAGAGAGAAAATGGGCTGGTAAAGCTGAGAGTCGTAATAATGACTGATTAACCTTTCTGGGTTCCAGGGATCGTTTCCTGAACTTTTTTAGTTCCCTTAGGTCAGGGGTCCCCAGTCTGACCTATTAGGAACTGAGCTGTACAGCAGGACATGAGCATCTGTTGAGTGGAGCTCCCCCTCCTGTCAGATCAGTGGGGACATTAGATTCTCTTAGGAGCTGGAACCTATTGCGAACTGTGCTTGTGATGGATCTAGGTTGCACTCTCCTTATGAGAATGTAATGCCTGAAGATCTTAGGTGGAGCTGAGGAGATGATTAGCAGTGAGGTTTGACTGCATATCCTCTCACTCCCCTTCATGGAAAAATTCCTCAGTTGTCCCAGGTAATGTAGGCCTCTGGGGGTGGCACCGACCCTGAGGGTTATTGCCAGGCTGGCTGTCTGCCTATTAGAAGGCTAGGGGACCCAAGTTTGACAGGGAAGTCATTCTAGGTGACCTTTATAGTTCTGATATGGAGGGGTTTCCGCTCCAGAAAACTGCTGCTTTTTAACTGATCTGAAAAACATTGTTTCCTTGAATCTTGGCAGTAAATCTGTAACAACTTTAGGAAATGGAACATTTCATTCCCTTCCTAGAGATTCACAATGCAAACTAAAGTATTAAAGCCTCTGATAAATTCTGCAGTAACAATTTTCTTTTACTCAGTATTTTACAAACTTGCTTGGTGGTAGAATACATTTACACGCTGGTTTTCAAGTCTGACTGTGCCCAGAGGTTCTGATTTAATTGGGGTGAAGTTCAGCCATTGGTATTGACTTTTTCACATTTCCTTACTATCCGATTTAACTCTTAACACTTTTGGCAGTAATACCACAGAAGTGATGTCCTTGGTGGATCGTATTAGAAGACACACAGTACTGTCTGTTCCACTGGTCAGGTGTTGTCTTCCAGGTTTCTCCAGTGTCAAATTATTGCTATTTTCTATTGTGTAATTAATAAGTCTCCAGTACAGAGATCCACTGAGACTCTGGAACTATCTCGTGTCACTTCAAGCCCCACTAGGTTTTGCATCCATTTATGATTCATGTCTGAAGCAACTGGGATTTTTAAAAATGTTCCTCAGGAGATTCTGATGTTCAGTTAGGGTTGAAAATGACTTTGTTAATATATATCAGAATACACCTTAGGGCAAGCTACATCAAACTGTGTCCTCCAAATAGGCCCGGCAGCAATGATCAGACTTTCAGAGTTCCCTTTGGTCTCCTAGCTCTTGTTCCTTCTCTGCTTTCTGGGGTCCCAGAGCGCACAGCCTGTGGGGGCTGAGGCTGAGCTCTCCCCTGCACCCTGCACCAGCCACACTGATCCGTGATGCTCCAAACACAGCAGGCAAGCTGTTCCCTGCTCCCTGCTTTGGCTTAGCTGCTCCTGCACTACCCCAGTCTTTTGGCCTCTGCCTGGTAAGCTCCATGGGTCACGTGCTCTGAGATGCCCACTGGGACCACTGTGTTGCTGCACTGAGCTCAGTTCATATGTCTCCTTTCTGTTAGGCGAAGTTCTTTATGACCACAGGGGCATTTAATACAGGTTTGCTAGCGGAATGGACTGGGTTTCCCATGGGAACAAAGGAGAATAAACATGGATTCACTTCGAAGACCTAAAGTGGAATCTACTGCTCACTGCTGTTGAAATATTCCTTGGGGAAATTCCACAAGATCTAGAATAAAGAAGCCTGCCTCTAGCAAAGCTTTGTGTTTCCTTCTGCCAGTTTACTTGGGTCCCTGGGACCCTGTAATCTGATTTCACAGATGTTTCCTGGGACCACAAGTCTATGCAAGGGTCTGTTTGTGGGTGTAGCATTTCAGGACAGATGAGGCCTTTCCACCCAGCCCTGCTCTGAAGCCAGCACCTCTCCCCACAGTCCCCTGGGGAATTCTCCTGTCATGTGTCCCACCTTGGGTCAGACCTGAGTTTGACCTCTGTCCTCTTCATCTCAAGAGGTTGTCAGAGGCTACCAGACTTCAGGCTACCATTTCTTCAGGATTTGCCAAAAGCCACTCCATCTGCTTTGCTTACCGCTCTGGAATCCTGCTTTCTTTTAGAGTTTTTGGCTTGCCACTTCCTACTGTCTTGTTTTTTATGCTTTTAAGACTAAAAAAATCTGAGCACAGGAACTCACCTGTAATCCCAGCACTTTGAGAGGCGGAGGCGAGAGGATTGCCTGAGTCCAGGGGTTCAAGACCAACCTGGGCAACTTAGAAAGACCTCGTCTCCATAGTAAATGAAGAAAATTAGCCAGGCATGGTGGCACTCACCTGTGGTTCCAGCTACTTGAAAGGCTGAGCGAGGCCGGGCTCAGTGGCTCAGCCTATATCCCAGCACTTTGGGAGGCTGAGGCGAGTGGATTGCCTGAGCTCATGGCTTCAAGACCAGCCTGGGCAACATGGTGAGACCTCGTCTCTACAGTAAATCAAAAAATTAGCTGGGTGTGGTAGCGCGAGCCTGTAGTTCCAACTACTCGGAAGGCTGAGGCGGAAGGATCACCAGAGCCCAGCAGGTCAATGCTGGGGTGGCCATGAGTGTGCCACTGCACTCCAGCCTGGGCAATGGAGTGAGACTCCAACTCGAAAGAAAGAAAGACTGAGCGGAAGGATCACCTTATCTCAGCGGGAATAGACTGTGGTGGCTGTGAGCGTGCCACTGCACTCCAGCCTGGATGACAAAGTGAGACTTCTCCTTAAAAAAAAAGGACTAAAAAACACATACTGAGCATTTCTAATTTTCAGCTGTAGGGCTGGTCTTAATAACCCAGGCTGACATAACTGGGAAAGGAAATCTATGCTGTGTGTTTCAACCAGACCTTTTTTTCCTTCTTCCCATCCTCATCATCCTCTGGAAAGCCCTAGACAAAATCACTGAAATCAAGTCTCTGCTGAAAGAGGCAGATTGGTAAGTTGGAGCAAATAAGCCGAGTGACTAGGTTGAGTGAGGTCCCGAGAGCAGCAGTCACATCTCCTGTGGGGAGTCTGTGACCACAGCCTGGCGAAGCATGTCATGGAGTTTCTGGCAGAGTTGATCTGACATTGGGAAGGAAATGGAGATCACTCCCAATGCTAGGAGGCAGGGTCTTCCTAGTTCTCCCTCCCGAGGCTAAGCTGATTCCCCTTTATCTCCCTCCCCTTTGGACCTGGACCAGTCAGCCTAGTTCTTCCAATTCTCCCATTTCTTCTAGTGCTTGGTTTACAGGTGAGTATGAGGAGATCAGGGGTCCACATGTGATCATTTTTTGAACTTTTTTCATTGGATTATATGTTAATAGAAAAGTACACATAAGTATACAGCTCAATGAAATTTCCAGTAACAGAACTCTTATCTAACCAGCACCCAGGTCAAGAAACAAAATATGAACAGCCCCTCGGAAGCCTCCCCTTCTAGTTGCTTCCCCCAGGGGTATCCACTGTCCTGATGTCTTGCCAGTATGTTTAACCCCAGCAGTCCCAGGACATTTAGCAGAAGGGGCTGGGCGCGTGCTGGGTGCTGGTGCTCACTGGGGAAGTGGGGCCTCCCGGCAGTTCCCTCTAGCAGCTCAGTGCAGGTGCTAGCGTGGGTCTGGAGGAAGGTACCCCTCCCTGGTGCCTCAGGGGCTCCCTTCCATCCCACAATGGCCAAGATCACCAGCCTGTACAATGACTCAGAGCTCCCTCGGAAGACCATGCGCAGAGGGGTGTTGATGACCCTGCCCCTGTGGATCGGGAAGCCTGGTGGCAAGTGAGGGCAGCAGCTACAAGAAAGGGGCTGGTGTCAAGGACTAGGACTAACGCTTCGTTCCACTCGCAGTCCCCCACCCCTTATGGGGCCATTGCGGCCTCACGGGACTATGTGGCCAAACCTGGAGACTAAGTGGCTGCCCAGGTAAAGGCTGTGCATGAGGACGAGCAGTGGATCCTCTCCAAAGTGGTCAGTTGAAGCCACACCACCACCAAGTGAGGGCTCATCAGGCCCATGGGCTGTCCTCTTGTCACACCTGCTTGGCCACTGCTTTGTTGCCTATCTACAGAATGGGAGAACAGCTCCCCATGGGGTGCTATGGGTGGAATGGCATGTGAGGGGAGCATATGGTTCCTTCAGCTCCTCCTCCCTTACGTGGACTGTACTCATGGCATTTTTCTCGTGTTTGTCTGCAGGTATGAGGTAGATGACAACGATGAAAGCAAAGAGTGAGTGTCCAGGCCAGAGAGGAGCAGCAGAAGCCTGGGGGGCAGCCAAACTGCTAGGAAGAAGTCTATCTCCCTGGCCAAGGATTGACCTGAGCCCTTCACACCCCTAGGAGACACACCCTGAGCTGCTGGCGGGTCATCCCACTGCCCCAGTGAAGGCCAACCCTGAGACAGACCCTGAGGCCTTATTCCAGAAGGAGCAGCTCGTGCTGGCCCTGTATCCCCAGACCACCTGCTTCTTCTGTTCCCTGATCCACACATCCCTACAACAGGTAACCAGGACCAGGCTGACCAGACAGGTCAGGGGGTCACCTTCCCGCTTCCTCCCCTTTTTTCTTATCTCCAGTCTCTGAGCTGAAAGAACACGGAAGCTGCCCTCCCTCTTCTGCTTTCCCGAGTTCGCTCTGTTGTCTCATCCAGGCCCGCCAGAGACCCTCTTCTTGCCCGGCCTGGGAGCCCTAGCAAGCTCTGTGTGGTCCTGTCATTCTGCAGTCTCACCTCACTTCTGCATTTAGAGGAGACTGAGCACCAAGATGGGAGGTCCGTGCTCCTAATGACACATTACCCTGGACACATGTTACCTGTTACCTGAAGACAGGATTCCTACTTGCTACCCTTTTGGTTGCCCTTGATCCCTTTAACACAGGGGTCCCCAATATGCACTAAGCCCTCCCCTCCAGTTATGGCCCAACCGTGTAGGGAGTGAGTCTCCCTTCTTTGTGCTCTTTATCCCCTGTCTTCGTCCTCTGCTGCTAAGAGCTCTAGAGCAGCAGGGACTCAGGTCCGGACTTCTTGACTTGAGTGAAAGATTAAGACAGGAGCACTTGGGAGCCCATGACCCAGAGGAGCCTGTTGGTCTAAGATAGGGTAGGGAGAGGCCAGGCTGGCCTGGCCTGGGGTAGTCTGACCAGCCCCTACTGTCTGCCTTTGCTGCAGCCCCAGGATGACTACTCAGTCCTGTTTGAGAACCCCTCCTATCCAGGTGGTTATTCCCTTCTGCTTAACGTGGCCCCGAGGTACATGGTGGCTTGTAAGGAGCCCAAGAAAAAGTGAAGTCGGCTGACAGACTCACCATCTCCCAGCCTCCTCAGAGGTGGCAAGAAAGGATGTTCTGTATTAAATATTCTTCCCCCTTGCCCACTTCTCCTGGGTTGTACTTCCATAGACCGTCTTTCCTTTCCAGAGACAGGGCAGGTTGGGGAGCTGGAGGCTGGGGGAGATGGCCCTATTTCCTCCCAGTAGGCATGTATTCTTTCAGCTGAGGATTTGTCTTGGCTTCCAATAGAGGCTCTGCATTGAACACAATTCACATTTTCTTTTTGAGGCCATGAGTCAGGCCTGTTTCCCACATGTCCTTTGGAGGGATTCCCAGGGAACACCCCACACAGCTATGAGCGGAAGTTGAAATTGCAGTCTGCTATCTTCTCAGTGTAGTCGGCATTGAAGCGCTCATTCTGGACCACAGTGAAGGAGGTTTTCCAGTCTCCAATGATACCTTGTGAAGGGGGAGGAAGGGATACTGGAGTTACACTGCAGAGGAGGCCCTAAGTGGCTCGAGGTGAGTTCCAGGTGCTGCTGCCACCCTCCCCAAACACCTGTCCTGACCGGCCACCCATCTTTCCTCATTAATGGGGAAATGCTGTGGTCCATGAAGTTGAGAGAGACAGTGCTGTAGATAGACATGGAGTTCTTCATCTCCTTGAATGACATGTGCTGTACAGTGTGGCCCACGGTCTCCTCTGACATGGAGCACCTTCAGAATCTCCCTTTTGGGGTTCTGGAGCAGCAGAAGGCTCTTCAGTAATGGTTTGAATTGCTCAATGGGCAAATAAAAGCAGGGTCCCCATCTCTAACCTCAGGATGTGACCATTTCCACTAGAAACCTCAGAGTCAGCTCCTTGACTCTGGTCCTCTTTCCCCGAAACAAAATTAACTGCTCTCTGCCCTGTAATCTGTAATAATTAGTGTTTGGCTCCTTATGGGCGTGACAGTCGTTCCTAACTGTGGGCTCAGGGCTTGACATGCTCTTTGGCACTGATGAGCAATAGTAAACTGCTGGTCAGCGACTGTGCATGCAGCTGACTCAGGTGCTAGGAGATACGAGAGTGCAGGATCCTGCTTCGAGGTGGCACCATAGGTGAGGTTCCCAGGCCAGGAACACAGGATGGGGAATCCAGAACTGGTGTGGGAGCTGGGCTGCCCCACGGGAGGGCAATAAGAGGGCATGTCATGTTCCTTGGAGCTCCTGCCCCAGGTTGGACCTGGAGGTAAGCAATAACAGGTGGTCTCACCTCCTTCATGTATTCATAGAAGAGGTAGAGGACATGGTGGGTTTGACTCAGCTCCTACCACATCCTGCACGTGCTGGTACCAGGACCCATGGGATATGGGAGAAAAGATGCAGGGGTTGGTAATCGTTTTAGCTAGCTGCCCCTTGGCTCCAGCCTCTTCCTCTCTCTAGAGTCAGGCCCACCTTCTCTGGCCATGAACTTCTCCAGGAAGCTGTCCCAGGTGCCAGGCTCAGGGCATATCTTGACCATGTGCAGAAGTGGTAGTAGGAGATGGCCACATCCTTTGCATTGTGGACAACATAGATCACCTGCAGCGGCAGATGACACCACCCCTAGCACCATCACCACACAGCACGCCCCACACCTGGTTATCTCTTGGTTTGGCAAAGTAGGAAACTGAGACTTAGAGGCTTGCTTGCTTGAAATCTCATTGTACAGGTGTGACTGGAATAGGACTTGAACTCTTCTCTGATGCCAAAGTCCTGGCTGGTCCTAGAACCATATCTTATACTAATTTAACAGCTATCAATGCCATCACACCCACATTTAGACCAAGGCACATCTTCCCACCAGCTCCCTCCTCCACAGGCCTATGAGCATTCAGATTCTGCCTTTCTCTTGTCTGAAGAGCCTCACTTTCTTGGTCATCTGACCCTCACCAGAGCAAGAGGCAGGTGGTCTCTCCCATCAAGATGAGACAAGGCTAAAAGAAGTGAGGAGACCTTACCAGAAAACAGCCCCAAAGCTGGGATGGTCCAGGAGCCTCCTCCCCTGACTGCCCTTGCCACTCACCTCGACCTTCTGATCCAACAGAGTCTGGGGGAGCAGGGCCAGGGGCAGGTGTGTCTTGTAGAGTTTCTATACCTGAGCCATGGGTTAGGAAAGGCCTAGTGAGCTGGAGTCCCAGTTCTGCCTCCCTCTCCCCAGCACACTGCCACATACTTGAGGGAACCCCTGGGAAACAGAGCTCAAGGAAGGGCACCTGTGTCAAGATGGGGGCCCTGTTACACTTCTCTACGTCGCTGCCCTGGTAGATCATGCCCTGATCCAAATGGTGCCTATGGAGGGAGGAAGATGAGAGGTGAGCAGGGCTGAGGGCAGCATTGCTGTCCAAGGTGAGGATTACAGGGTGGGTGGTCCTGTTTACCTCCCTGCCTTTGGGTAAGTGCTGATCAGCAGGTCATCAGGCCAGGCCTAGAAACTGCAGTGACCCCAGCCCCTCTGCAAAGTATTTGATGGGTGGGACCCCCTTCACATACTCCAGTGGCGGGCGGGAGGTGTCCTGGACCAGCTCCGTGCTACTGCTGTGTTAGGGTCCAGAGTCTGACCCACTTTCCTTAATGCAGTCACAACAATACTGTTTGCTGAATTCTTGCTTTAGGATAAGGACACTGAGGTTTAGGGAGGTAGAGGAACTTGCCCAGACTCACCAAGCTAGTAAGTGGTTGAGCTGTGATTCAAAACCATATCTAACTCTAGTGCAGTGGTTCACAGTTCTAGCTGTCCCTTTGATTTACCTGCAGTGCTTTTTCTTTTTTCTTTTTGAGTTACAGTCTCACTGTCACCCAGACTGGAACTCAGTGGCATGATCACAGCTACCACAGTCTACATACTGAGCTCAGGGAATCCTTCCACCTTAGCTTTCCAAGTAGCTGGAACCACAAATGCATGCCACTATGCCCAGCTAATTTTTTTATTTATTATAGAGACAAGATCACCATGTTGGCCAGACTGGTCTCAAACTCCTGGGCTCATGTAATCCTCTTAACTCAGCCTCCCAAATTGCTGGGATTACAGGTGTGAGCCACTACCCCTGGCTAATTCACCTACATAACTTTTCAAAATCCCAATGCTCAGGCCCAGTCCAACTAAGGCTCCCTCTGAGTGGGGGCAGGGTCCAGATGCAGGATTTTTGAAGCTCTTTGAGAGATTCCAGCCTGTGCTTGAAAGACTGTAGGGCCTGCCTGTCCTAACTCCCTGCCACCAGCTTTGCCAGCCGGCTTTGTTTTACTACTTCTTGCTGTGGTGCCCAGCCCCCACCCAGTGTGGGCTCCTCTCCCCATCACTCCCCTCCTTGAGCTCCACAAGCCCCTCACACGTGGAAGACTCCTAGGTGGCCAGGCCAGTGATTTCACTTGCCCAGCCACACTGAGAATTTTGATTGAGGGACAAACATGGCCGGTTGAGCAACTGAGTTTGCTTTTGGGGCCATGGGCCAGTATGGGAATAAACAAAATTCTGATGGTTCTGCAGTAAGAAGGGAGGCCAGATTGGAGTTGTTGGAATGGGGTTCCCACGCGAAAAGGGCAGGGATGTCAAAGACCAGAGCAGAGCCATAGGAGCTGGCCTCTGCTTTGGGAATATTCAAGGCTGGAGCTCAGCAGGGTGAGGGCGACCTAGCCCAGCCTCCCTACACTCTGACACTCACCTGATCTCTCAGGAACCTGGCCTCATGCCCTCCTCAGTATGCTGTGGCTTAGTGGGTGCTATATGACAAGTACTGAGCAATCTCTGTGCCGAAGGTTTTTGTGGGTAAAACGTGGGAGGAATCTGAAGCCAGGGCTGCGATGTGGCTGGCCTGGTGAATGGAAGGGGTGGAGTTTGAAGTGGGAGGGCACTGTTACTCTGCTTAGCACCTAAGCTGGAAAAACGTTTTAAGTTGATCTAAAAACCCAAGATGTGGGTTTAGTTTGTAGAAAACAAAAGAGCTAGGCACGGTGCCTCACACCTATAATACCAGCACTTTGGGAGGCAGACACAAGAGGATTGGATTACTTAAATCCAAGAGTTTGAGACCAGCCTGGGCAACTTGGCAAGACCTTGTCTCTACAATAAATAAAAAAATTATCTGGGCATGGTAGTGCACACCCATAGTTCCAGCTACTCAGAAGGCTGACGCGGAAGGATCACCTGAGCCCAGCAGGTCAAGGCTGTGGTAGCTGTGATTGTGCCACTGCACTCCAGCCTGGGCAATATAGAGTGAGACTCCCACTCAAAAAAAAAAAAAAAAGGAAAAAAGAAAGACATAAAGGTGCAACTACAGCTCACTGCAGCCTTGACCTCCTGGACCCAGGTGATCCTTCTTCCTTAGCCTCAGGTGCATACCACCATACTCAGCTGACCCTTTATAGAGATAGATCTTACTATATTGCCCAGGCTGATCTTGAACTCCTGAGTTCAAGTGATCCTCTCACCTCAGCTTCCCAAAGTGCTGTGATTACAGGTGTGAGCCACTGTGTCCAGTGACAGTTTTTTCTACTTGAGTCAGTCAAGGGAAGGGCGAGGGGTGGAGGGGTACTACTAGGTAGGCACGAGGCAGGTCACCTTCATGCAGGCTCCAGGCTAGTCTTGAAGGCGCCAAGGGTTCTGGCCCAGTGCAGCCCACAGGCCCCAGCAGCCAAGGCATTCCAGGCTCTGACCACAAGTTGAGTCCAGAGTGATGTGGCATAGACAGGGTGAAGGGGATAGAAGTGGAACACAGCAAGGAAGGCACTTTTTGAGGCAGCATGGGACAAGAAACAACAAGGATGCTGGAGTCTAATAATCTTTGGAGTGAGTCCCAGCTTCATGGCTCCCATGGAACCTCACAGAGCATCACTCATGACTGGTGGAAGAGTGACAGGCTCCAGAAGGTACTTCTCTCTCCCTGAGTTTGAAGGGGGCTCTGTAGTCAGAGACAAGAGATTAGGGCTTGGAAACCAAAGGGCCCCATGGAAAGAGAGCACCCCCTCTTCCTCCTCCGCTTTTCTTACCATTGGGAGTAAAGTCCACAGTCAAGCTGGACACAGAGAATTTGAAAGAGGGGACAAACATGACCAGTTGAGCTACTGAGCTTACTTTTAGGGGCTAGAGTCTGGAATGGGAATGAATAAAACTCTGATGACTCAGAATAAGAAAAGAAAGAGGATTCTGGACAATTTAAAAGAATTGTGTGACCTCAGGCAAGTTTGAGAAAGCTTAGGCAGTGTAGTCTTTAGGCCTGCTCAAATGCTTGGGCCAATGGCCTCTCCTCCCTCCTCTGTTACCCTTACCCAAGCCCCAGTGACTGTCAGGGCCTCTGCCTACCAGCTCTACCCTCACTTCCACCTCAGAAAACACCAGAAGGTACCCTTAAACTCAGACATTTTTTCAGGGGGGTGACTACTAGGCATTTACCACCACACCCAACCAGTTTCTTGATTTTTTTGGAGAGACAAGGTCTCACTTCATTTCACAGGCTAATCTCAAATTCTTGGGCTCCCTCCTTGGTCCCCAATGTGCTAGGATTACAGGCTCAAACCACCACACTCAGCTAAAGTCAGACTTTTTATTGTACTCAAGTAAAAACTGGCCAGATCCGCCGGGGGTGTCACAGAAAAGAAGTGGGAGGAGGGTTAGGGATACTGAGAATCAGGTCTCCAGCATGTCTGTCCAGTGTGCCTGTGGAGGCAAGAGAGTGGGCCAGAGGCAGCCCAGGGGATGGAGCTCAAGGGTAGGAAGGCTGGAGTCAGAGCCATCTCGGCTCTTCTAATTCTGAGTCTTCTTCCTCAGTTTCCGTCTGGCAGAGGCAGATCAGATCTCCCCCAAAGCAGTGAGTTCTCGCAGCTACCAAGGGTAGGAGATACAGAGTCAGACATCACAGGCTAGGTCCTAGGTTCCAAGATGAGGACTCAGCTGCCCAGGCCTGGATTGGACAGTTGGCACCCTCTTCCCAAGGTTAGCCCAGGCTGGGGGAGGGGTGTTGGACTCACCTAGGGCATTGGCCCTCTAGGGGGAGAAGCTGCCCTGGTTCTTCCTTAAGAAACTCCTCTGCCAGGCAGATCACATGAGCCCTCAGGGGGCAGCCAGGGTGGGGGCAACACAAGGGACCCTCTTCATCCTGTCAGAGGGGGCAGGAGAAGACAAAGGAATGATGTAGCTAATACTCATAAAGCATCCCTGAGGACCAGGCACCGTTCTGGAGGCAGTACACAAAACAACCCGTGAGGCAAGTACTGCTAGTGCTTGCATCTTACAGGCGAGGAAACTGAGGTACAGAGAGGTTAAATACTTGCCCTCAGGAAATGAACTGGCTAACTTCCTCACGCATTAGCAGTGATTATGAAACAGCTGGGCCACTGCAGTCAGATCTGTAGTTCCCTACAGGCTAAGTAACCTCAGGCAGGTCACTTAATCTCGGAATGGCAAGTACTCAACTCATTTGTGTTAGAGCTCAACAGAAGCCAGTCCCGTCATCTGTCACTTTATTAAGTATTTATTGGCCATCTGCTTTGTGCAGGAACTTGTTCTAGTGAACAAGAGCTGCTGTCCAGGAGTTTAGTGTGTGGACTGGGGTGGGAGGCACTAATAATATATAAATCTGCAATCTTAAGTATCGATCCATGTTATCCAGACAGATCTAGGGGGAAAGCTTGCAAAGGGAGCAAAGGCCCTAGGCACGTTTGGATGCCTCTAGAAAGGGCCACAATTACTATCGCCATTTTAGAGATGGGGCGGCGGTCAAAGTGTGTCAGTGGTCCCTCAACAAACAGCTTGACCCAAAGTCATCTGCACCCTAGACCAGGCCCCACCTGGGGTGAATTGCACCTGTAGCGCACGAGGCCTCTGCGGTACCCTGGTTCGACTCAGTCTTGATGTCCACAAAGGGACCGGTGTGGCGCCTTGGGAACCGGGGTCGAGGCCCGAGATGGCGGAGGCCCTAAGGCCACCAGCACGTGCGGCAGCGGTGGCGGCAGGCAGAGATCACAGCGGAATTTGGGGCGCAGCCAGCGCAGGGTGAGCTGGAGGTGCGACCAGGGCGGCGCGCGCAGCTTGTGCGCCGGCACGCGCAGATGGCAAGCGAAGGCTGACTTGCTGCATGGACCCACGTGTGCCAGGCGGCGCAAAGCCTGCGGGTGCTTCCAGGCCTACTCGAACTGCAGGTGGAGGGTACAAAAGCGTCAGGGCCAGTCTGGGTAGGAGGGAGCTGGGGGCAGGCTCCAAAACCCCCAGCTCACCCACAGCCCCTTCTCCTTTCTTACCCCAAGGGCTGCCACTGCGGATGGGAAGTCGTGCACGATGAGCACCATCCTCCCTGGGGAGAAGAGGGTGAGGCCTGAGTCGCGCCCCTCACACTCAGTGTCAAGCCGGATGCCCTCTCCATGGTTCTTCAAACCTGGCCACGAGGCCCGCCCCCTTCGTGAAGGTTCGTCCCCCTTGAACGTGCCAACCTCAGGCCCTGCCTCCACTGCCCAATACTTAACTGTCTCAGTTTCTTTCCCTTCTAGCCTCTATTCCAACACCAGCTTGCTCACCAATGTTGCCAGACCCCAGACTTGATCATCAAGGCCTCCCTATAATGAAGAGACCTGCCATCACAAACCCCCTATTGCTCTAAAATGACAGCTAAGGGGTACTCGACATGCAGCCTGTGATTCTAGCTATTAGGAAATGAACACCACTCCCCAGAAACTATAGAAAATAGAAAGCACTTACTTATTACTTCTTTCTAGGCTCGTTTTTATAAAATGGATTGTTTAAGGTTACGTTTAGAACTGTCCTTTGTAATTAATGTAAAACTGCTTGAATGCACAGTTTGCTTCTTCCTCCCCTTCACTGGCCTTGGATCTAGTAACTGCTGCTGGTGCTGAAAGAACACTGTCATTTGCATTGAGCCCCCTGATCAGCAGAAAGGGCAAAGAAAAAACTGCAAGTCCCTGAAAAGCCTCCGCGAGACCTAAATAAGAAATGAGCCCTGCTGAAACTCACTAAAACCCAGAAAAAAATGTATCTATTCCCTTAATCATTAGATGACAATTGCTTTCTTTCATGTCTTCGTGTCAAATTTGTGTATAATGTTAATTATTACGTCGTGTGAACCAAACACTCCTGGTTTAAGCAAAGAACTGTAACCAACTGAAAAGCACGTAGCCCCAAATTGTCCAAAAGCTATAGTAATTTGAAAGAGTGACCCGACTGCTGCAGTCTGAACTGGGTTATGTCAACGACTGTTTAAGGTCTAAACTCTGATTAGAAAATATACTAATAATGGTCACAAGTCACGTCAGTGTTATTAATCAATAGTTAAAATAGATAAGACAATGCCTGTTTTACTATAAATACTGGGATGAGTTTGTATTGCTTTGAGCGGGCTATGATAACAGTACCAAGTCTGTCTCCCTGAATTATGAATTCAGGTTAAGCTTCTTTCTTCCCAGTTTCCTGCCTCTCCTGCCGAGTGTGGATCGGCTACCTCACTAAGCCACCCCTTCGCAGAGTTCCAAAGCTATTTTCGCAGGGCACCGCCTCCCTGTTAGGCTCCTCCCTGAGACAGGCCCCGCCCTCGTCACTAGACCTCTCCCCCTTCCTGTCCTGCCCACTGTCACCTGGCCCACACCCCTCGGAGGCTCGCCTCCTCGGTGAAGCCTTCCTCGTCGCAGAGATCGGCCTCTTACCGGGCCCGTCGCCCGCTGGTCCGCCAGGCTCTGCCTTTTTTGCTCCCCCTATTGTGCTGCTGGACCCGACTAGCAGGGTTCACCGTGAACCCCACGTAGACGCGACCCCGGTGCCGAGGATTCAAGCAGTAGAGCAGATGGACGCCGAAGATGCGCCCCGGTCTCTCCGCGCCACACGCTGGCCGCATGGGGACTTGCGGGTGAGGAATCGCATCTGGGAATGACTGCTGTGACCTGCACCCGGGGAGGGCTGGATCGCTAGGGCTGCAAGATGCTTGTTTCGGAGCAAGCGCTCGGGCCCGGTCCCGAGGCACCTCGGAGGCCACGGTAAGGCGGGTTCGCGCACCCTCTCCTGGCTGGAGGGAGGGTTCAAAATCGCTCCACAGCACGCAGGCTGCTGGGCCGGCGGCGAGCGCCAGCCAATGAGCGTCGGCTCCAGCAAGTCCGGGCTTACGAGCACGCTGATTGGCTGCCTGGTGGCAAAAGTGTCGCGTGTGGGAAAGCCGGGCCTACTCGAGGGCGGAGCTACTGCGTTATGGACGTCCATTAAGGGCGGAAGTAGGTAGCCCAGCGGAAGTGGCTCCTGTACGGGAGGAAGGTGGTGTGGCCGTGGTCCGTGCTGGGCTTCGGGCCCCGCTAGGCTGCCGTCCCAGTTGGCCTGCCGCTATGGAACTCAGCGCCGAATACCTGCGGGAGAAGCTGCAGCGGGACCTGGAGGCGGAGCACGTGGTAAGCTGGGACCCGACGAGGGACGAAGGGCTTCAGCGGGGGCGGGTTCGGCTCCATTCATATTATTCCGTGCGGTAGGAGGTGGAGGACACGACCCTCAATCGCTGCGCGGCCAGCTTCCGAGTCCTGGTGGTGTCGGCCAAGTTCGAGGGGAAGCCACTACTTCAGAGACACCGGTGAGGCCCCGGGAGCACCTTACGAAGCTCCAGGGCCACAGCCCCGGCCACTCCCCCTTCCCTGACAACCGGACTCCCTCACCCCCTCCAGCGTGACTGTGGCCTTGAGGATTCCGCTTCGTGGTCCCAGCTCCGAGTGTTGAAATTTTAGCCCTCTCCCCACGTGTTCCCACGTCCTGGGGACTGCGACCGCGGGGACACTACAGTCTCCTACCTCAACTTAGCTTCGGGGACCACAACCTAAGCCCTGGCCTGACGTTTCTTAACCCCATCTCTCGCCCCAGGCTGGTGAACGCGTCCCTAGCCGAAGAGCTCCCGCGCATCCATGCCTTTGAACAGAAAACCCTGACCCCAGAGCAGTGGGCCCGTGAGCGGCAGAAATAAGGGACCAGGACCTGCACAGCCATTAAACTATAAGTCAGAACCAGCTTCCTTGTCGTGTGTTGTGTATGAGAGGGTGGGAGGGCTCAATCTAAGACTTGTCTCGCCCTGCCCTGCCACCATCCATTGTTTTACCTCGGACAGGTCCCTCTCCCCATCTATGCCTCTGTGTCCCCCGCTTGTAAAGCGAAAGCTTTATCATTAAAGACCCTGCCTTGCAAACCTGCTCGCTGTAATTCTCTGCAGAAGAATTACAAAGGAGTTCGCATTGCCACTACCCTCCCAGCCCTGGAAGAGCTGAGGGCTCCTGCTCTCTACCAGCCCTCAAGATACAGAAATGAGAAGTGTTTACAGTTTCAGGCACCTGACTGGTTGAACACATTTCTCCCTCTCCCCAACACCAACCCAGTGTCAGAGGCATGATAACAGAACTACACTTTCCCCTCAGGGTCCCCCAGCCCTTCCCAGACCTCAGGGGAAGTGGTGCTCAAGTAGGGCCTCAACACCTAGAATGCTGATGTTTCTGGCCCACTGAAGGGGGTCCAGTGACCCCATAACCCTGGGCTGCTTGTGATTACCGGTGCCTGGGGGAAGACCATGGGATAAGTATGGGATTAGATCAGAAAAGGCAGGCTGACCTGAGTTGCAAAATTGGGGGTGATGCTCCTGTTTTAACCACAGGTTAACCACAGGTTGATAGGTTGGTAGGACCTTGCACAGAGGTCCCTGAGACCTAGGAAGGACACCAGGTGACCCAGTTGGTGCCAGGGCTCTTTGGGAGTGAGATGTTACAAGTTTCAGACATCACCCACTTTGTTCCCCTGTGTTTTCAAGGCCAGTTTCTCAATCTAAATTATTTTCATTCTCCACTTCTGTATCTTGTCCTCATCAGATAGAGAGTGGTCTGGTAAAGCTGAGAGTTGTCATAATGACTGGTTAACCCTTCTGGGTTCCAGGGATCATTTCCTGAACTTTTTATAGTTCCCTTAGGCCAGGGGTCCCTGGTCTGTGGCCTGTTAGGAACCGGGCTGCACAGCAGGAGGTGAGTGGTGGGCTAGCAGAGCTCTGCCTTCTGTCAGATCAGCAGAGGCATTAGATTCTCATGGGAGAATCTCATAGGAGCCCTTTTGTGAACTGTGCTTTTGAGTGATCTAGGTTGCACATTCCTTATGAGAACGTAATGCCTGACTATCTGAGGTAGAGCTGAGGCGGTGATTAGCAGTGAAGTGTGACTGCACAGCCTCTCCTTCCTGTCCATGGAAAAATTGTCCTCCACAAAACCAGTCCCTGATGCCAAAAAGGTTGGGGACCGCTGCTGCCTTAGGCCAAGAAGAGACATAGTGACTGAGTCTACTTACAAGGACCCCAGAAGGGCCCATCAGCCCCAGTGTGCATGAGCTCAGAGAAGGAACATCACGTCTTTAAGAGGCCCAGACTGGAATCCCGGCACTTTGGGAGGCTGAGGTAAGTAGATTGCCTGAGCCCGGGTTCGAGACCAGCCTGGGCAACTTGGCAAGACTTCGGTTCTACAATAAATAAAAAATTAGCCGGGTGTGGTAGCACCTGCCTGTAGTTCTGGCTACGTGGAAGGCTGAGGCAGAAGGATCACCTGAGCCCAGCAGGTCAATGCTGGGGTGGCCATGAGTGTGCATGCCACTGCACTGCAGTCTGGGTGACAGAGTGAAACTATGACTTAAAAAAAAAAAAGAGGCCCAGACGATACCCCTAGTTGCATACACCCACTCCATTCATCCAGCTGTGATGCTATCCCTCCCTTTTTTATAATTTTGAATTGTTTGATTTTATTTTATTTATTTTTTTTTTTGTAGAGACGAGGTCTCACTATATTTCCCAGGCTTGAACTCCTGGCCTCAAGCAATTCTCCCTCCTAGGCCTTCCGAAGTGCTAGGATTACAAGTATGAGGCACCACAGCTGGCCTCCTCCATTTTATAGTTGAGTGAGGCCGGAGAGAGGTAACTTGCCCAGAGTCACATAGCTTGCATGATGTGAACTCCAAGTGGGCAGATGGAGACGTCTGGACACCTGCTTCATGCACTTCTCTATCCAGGTAGTTTTCTACAGCATGCTGAAAGGAAAGGGCCTGGGAATGGGACCTTTGGTGGTACCTGCATGTTAATGGGCCAAGCCCTGCTATGGCCAAGACACCCACACAGCCCTGTGTCCTTCCAGCGCAAGATCACCTGCAACGTTGGGCATCGAAACCTACTGCCAAGCTGTGAAGACCTGGCAGATCTCTTCGTGCCAGGTCCCTTGCACAGGGTCCAGGCCCAGGTGGAACCCACAGGCAGAGCACCAGAGGCAGCAGTACTATGCAGGGAAGGCTCTGAACTTGAAGACTTGGGCTATGACTTGTGATCTGCCCTTTAGCAAGCTGCTCTCCTGCGCTGGGCCTCAGTTTTCTTACCTGTAAATAGGGTCATGCTAATGCTTTGCTTCTGAGCTCTTTCCTTATAAAAATTTCCCTTATTTTTATCTTTGGACCTGAAGTTTGAAAGATACCTACCATGTAAGCACTGGTTGGTCCATTTCCCCACAGGCAACAGTGTCAGTATAGTTCCATGCAACATGATGTTTTGATTGGTGAGGAAGGGCAGATTGGCAGAAACGCAGTTTTTGAAGCCCCAGACTGGGGCCTTGGATAGTTCAGACCTGCCAGCTCTGAGAAAAAGCTAGGAAATGGAGAATGGAGAGCAGGCTCCCAGCCCACATCAGCACAGGCCCTACCCCTCTCATGGGACAGGTCCCTGAAAACTGCAGAGCAGGAAGCCCCAGGGCTGGTCAGTTCAGCAGACCCAACATCCAGGCGACCATTTGCCAGAGTCTGAGAGGTATCAGAAAATAAAGCCATTTTATTATTGTTTTTTGTATCTGCCATGTGGCCTGGGGAGCAGGGTGGGAATGGAAGGGTGGGAACGGTTGGCCCCGGTTGAAGGTGCTAGGGGCCTCTACTTGGCCTGAACTGTCTCCTCCAGCCTTTCCAAGCGCTTCTGGAGCTCCTGCACCGTGGCCTGGAGCTTCCTCATCTCCTCCTCCAGCCGGGATATGGCATCCTGAGGGATCCAGTGCTGCATTAGGCCCAAACGTTCCCTGGGCTCCCCTAACCCTGGCACCTGCTAAGCCCCTCCCAAGAGCCCCAGGCCTTGGGAACTTCTGTCTCAGCCAGCTACTGCCTGGAGAGCTATAAACCCGAAACTTGTCTGAGGCCTCAGGATTACCCACTTCCAGCCTCCAGTGGATCCCTGGGATTGTGAGTTTAAGCTGCCCCAAACACCAGCCCTACCCCGTCTTCTTGTCTTGACTCCCTGGCTCCCCATTCCTCTCACCGAGCTGGGGGCGCCGCTGGCCTCTGGTGCTGCCCTCCTGCGCCCGGTGTCCAGGCCCCGATTGACCCTTAGTTCCCGGCTCTTCGGGGGCACGTAGCCATCCTTGAGGGAGATAAGGAGGGGCCCGGCATCCCGACCTCCCAGCCACTCTTCAGCCGTGAGGGCTGGGTCAGGCCCCGCCGTGGGTGGGTACAGGTCCTCCTGGAACAGGTCCGACTGTGGGCAAGGCCAAGGCTGGTTAGGAAAGCAGTTATGCTGCAATACCACCCCGCAATGCCCCGAGGCAGTGCCCAGCCCAGAGCTCATGGAGGGCCCGGGAGCATCACCTTTCTAGGCACTGTCATGGCGATGGGCTCACACCTCCGCTCGTGCAACTTGTAGAATCTGTGGAAACGGGAAGGTGAGCAGCGTCCACAGCATGGTGGGGCAAGGACTGAGGTCAGCATGGGGTCAGCACTGACCAAGAGCATGCTCCAGTCAGGGTCAGGGGTCAGTCACCTGGCAATTTCACACTTGTTCACCTCCAGGCCGCGTTTGGGCATGTAGCCCATGCCACGCTGGGACTCCTTGGAACTGAACATGGAGAGATAGTGCAGGAACGGGGCTTCGGAAGTGATCTCAAAGTACCGGATCGAGCTGTCACCCTGCAGGTGGTGGGTGCAGAGGGGGGTTCGACATCAGCAGATGCCTCCAGCCCTGGTCCTCTCCACACCCCTCCTGCCCCACCCCTGCCTGACTAGACCACCTTGCCACAGAGGTAGACAATGTTGGTGTCGGGGTCAAAGAAGGGCAGCAGGACGCCGCTGCTGGTGTCCAGCTCCTGCAGGGACAGGGGCTCCTCCAGGTGCTTCTGTAGAGACAGGTGGGAGGTAACCATGGGCTGGGCCACGTCAGCCCTGGGATGGTGATCTTCACTGGGCAGTGACCAAGCGAGGGCCCTCCCAGACTAGCCAGTGGGAATCACCATCTCATGCGTGGGTAAACTGAGGCCCATGGCCATCTGGGCATGCACGCTGCATGCAGGGGACTAAGCCTCCAGTCTCGATTCCCAGCCTAGACTCAGCACTCACTGTGTCCCACAGCGCCACCTGCCGCTCACTCATGCGGCTGAAGCCCGTGGTCAGGATCTTTCCATCCGACACGAACACAGCACGCACGGGCCGGGTTCCCTCGTGGGGACGGTCCTTCTCCTGCAAGGAAAGGGAGATGGTAGGTCAGGCACTGACACACGCCCCCCAAGGAGCCAGTCCCAGGTGGGGGCGAGGGAAGGCAGCCTCCAAGGGTGGGTAAGAGAAAGGTCCTAGGGTCAAGGGTCAGGGTTCACGGCAACTCACAGCGACGACAGTGGCTTTGCGGGGCTCGATGATGCGCACACGCTTATCACGGCAGGAGGTGCAGATAAGGCCTCCGTCTCGGCTCCAGTCCACACTGTAGATTGTGTCCGGGTGCACATCTGGGCCCAGCGTCAGCACAGCAGCCCCAGTGCCCACGTCCCACACCATGATCACGTTGTCACAACCTGCTCAATCCCCCCAAGTGTCAGAAGCCCTGAGCCTCCTACCCGCATCCATGTCAGACTGCCATCCACCCCTCACCCCCCATCCCATAACACCTGCACTGAGCAGCACATTCTGGGCTGTGGGATGCCAGGCTACAATGCCCACACGCTTGGTGTGGCCCTCCAGGGTGACGACAGGCTCCC